ACCCCTGATTTAAAAATCTAAGTTAATTAGATAGCGATCACGTGACCCTGTGACGTCAAAGGCGACAATGGCTGATCAGCTCCACGTTAATCTTACGAAAATATACGCGATACAACCTGAATTTTCTGCGTTGTGGACGACCAAATCGCGTATTTTATCCATATGAAATTGAATATCCAACCTATATGTTAGAATTTTCAGCAAGAAAAAATCTGAAAAATCTGTTAACATTGTAAAAATAGCAGCGACGACAGCGAAGGAGACGCGGCGAAGACGAAGAAACTCGCCATCAGAATACGATTTGATTTGTCATCTTATCACATGTATTTACTTATTTGATTCACAAATTTAACATTATATAACTTTGTTGTTCTTCGTTTTTAACATAATCAGTATTTATTTAATTTATGCAAGTCTTCATATGTTTTTTAAAGGATGGCGATCTTGAAAAATAATTTCTCGATCACGAAACATTGCCGTAATCAGAGCTAAATGTTTGGAATAAAAAACGAAAATATCTCACAAGCCTTATACCTTAGAACTAGTTAATGTTTCTATAGTAAATTAAAAGCACGTTAGGAATTAATTTTTTCAGCATTTTTGGTAATTAAGCTGCATTTGTCGTTGATAACTCCGTAAATTGTGTGCATATTCTCATCTCTCTATCACTGAATTGTCGCCTATGACGTCAGAGCAGTATTTCGCCGAAATCGGTCTGAAATATGCATATTGCTGTATTTGAATTTCAACTCCCAATATCTATTAAAATATGCTTTCAACAACGTTTATTGTATTCAGTATTTTAATAAACAAGGTTGTAGATAATATTTTTCATAAAATTACGATTTTTGAAAGATCATGCGATAAGTCCTTTAAGATATTTCACATTGACAACTATAATCTTTATGATTATTTTAAGAATTTGATTCTGGTTATTAGTGTATTTCCCTCAAAATTCCGAACCCGTTGACATTTATCTTTTTTGACCTCGGAGATTGATCCAGGTGTTAGAGATAACACTTCAATTCTTATTACTCGAATTGTTTCCAACTAATCGTGTTAAAACTTCGTAATTCATCTGCCAAGAACACACTTTATCCGTTCAAAAAATTTTATTAAGATACATTGATTTCTGTAAAAATATAAGCTCTGTCTACGGAGTTTTGGGACAACCCTCGTAGGTGTTTAATTATTTCCTTCCCTAGAAATAATTCTTCAGGAACTCAATTATAAAAGAACCAAATAATGAGTCATTGATTACAATAAAATATAAGTAGATGTCAATTAAGTGTCCCCAAAGTTTTCATGTAATTGAAATGAAAATCGAAGGAACTTAACGTGACAAGAACTAATTTCTTTACACTTCACTACAATAGTAAAGGATACAACTTCCTGAAATAAAACTTTGTGTCTTTTAAAACAATATAGAGAGAGGGATAGTCTCAATAATTTTTCACCCACGCAAAATGACCCGCAATATGAGACTGAAAATTAGTCAAAACATTTTAAAATAAACTTAAGCATATTAATTTCTTTTTCAAGTTTTTAATTCTATAATCCTTCATCAAAACTAATCCACAGACACAACCCACTAATTCATTTATGAAACTCAAATATTCCTCACAAAAAGGTTGGAGGTGAAGATAACGAACAGTGATCTATCTCATGAATCCAGAAAGAATATATGAATCCTGAACAGGGCAAAAGCACGGGCCCCTGGAAACACCATAGATGGGATCAGGTGCCTAGGAGGAGTAAGCATCCCCTGTCGAACGGGTCACATCCGCTGTATTGATTATAGGTAAACGTAGTAATCCGTAGTCAAAATGTTATAGTATTAAAGCAATGACCTAACAACTGGCGGGATACGTAACAGTCATAATTATAAAATACAACAATACAAGTGCTTGTTTTGCAAACAAGGTCATTATTACAACTATAGAATTTGCAAAATGCTGAATTTGAATGTGATTGTTTAAAACTGTAACATCAACGTATATGTCAGAAGCCTGCCTTAAACATCGAGATCTCATATATATGGATGTGTCGAAGTGAGTTGGAAATCTCAAACATTTTTCTTTAGTATCTCGAATTCTACGATATCTTGAAGTTTTTCTTTGGTCCCCCGTGAGTTCAAGATGACGAAGTTTGACTGAATCATGTAAGGAACAGTACTAATTAAACATACCATGTTGATTTTCTACAAAGTAATAGGATGGTTTTCTATGACAGTAATAGGTAGATTCAACAAATAATTAACTATCTGCGTTTTCATTTAAATACTAATCGAAAGTTGTTCTTTTAAACTGTCAGGAAAAATATGTCCCTGTGTACACTGTACATTTAGAACAGTATAAAGTTTCTGCATTCCTGTGAAGATCAGTATTTTTTGTGGTCTTGTTTTGTTAAAATTTATTGTTTTTCGTAAAAGTGTAAATGTTCATTTTTTTTCAATAACGTTGTGTTTTACTTGTGAAAGAAAACAATTATGTTCTATTAATCAATAGGAGAGAAGTTATACAGCTATAACCGTATAACAATTGAATGTCATGGATTCAGTTGCTGGGGCTCAAGATTTACAAAATTGAGCATAGAAATGTTCAAACAAACATACAAACAAACAAAAATAATCTGTAATATATTTCTATATCATTCATGTAACAAAATAGATGCCAAAGTTTAATCTAAACACGTCATGAAATACTACTTCGATGTCCTCGAAATTTATTTTTTCTAAAATTACCTTCTGCGTTTATTTTTATCATTGAATGTTCCCCAAAAATAGCTTCATTTCATCAAAAATAACAAAATAGAATCAATATTGTGTATTAGTCATGATGTATATGGGACTTTCCTTTTAGCTCTATTTTCTAAAAGATACTGAGGGCATCTTCTGGTAGGTGTATAATAATTTCCTCCCCAATAATTAATTTTTCAAGAACTTCTTTATTAAAAACCCAAAATTATGCCTAATTCGTCAAAAAAAAAAAAAAAAAAAAAAAAAAAAAAATTAAGTAGGTGTCAATGAAATGTCCTAAGAGATTTAATGCCATTTAAACGAGAATCGAAGGAACGTAACGTGACTAGAACTGTTTTACAAAGGCATAGGGTGACATTCTTCCCGAAATAAAGATTGCATGTCTTTAAAAAATATTTAAAAGAAAGTCCCATTAATTGATCACCCACACAAAATGACCCGCCAAATGAGGCTGAAAACTAGGCATTTTTTAACACACACACACACACCCTCACACACAAAACAAAAACAAAAAAACCCATAAGCATAGCTTTATCATAATTGATCCACAGACATAACCCACTATTTCAGTATGAAACGAAACTATTCGTTATCAAGCAACATTGATCAGTCTCATAGTTCGAATCCCTAAACAGCACATAAGGCACAGACCCCTGAAAACAACAGATATGGGGTCAGGTGCATAGGAGAAGTGAGTATTCCCTGTCCCACCCGTTGCGCACCCTCTGTATTATCTGTAGTCAAAATTGTATATTAAAAATGGCCTAACAATTATAAGGAAATTTATCAGTCAAATTACGATTGACCCAACAATAGGTTGCATTTGCAAACAAGGTCATTATGACGATCATAGAATTTACGAAATGCTGACTTTGAAAGAGATAGTTGAAAACCTTGTACTATAAACTTATATGTCAGTAGCCTGCCTCGGTTTAAAAATCGTTGGTACCCAGAACACGCTCTGTAATAAGACAACAACAACAAATACAGGTTAAGGTTCAATATCACTAAATAAATAGGGAAAGTTGCCGATGAAAAAGTTGAAGTCATCCTATTGGTTTGCCATTAACGTCTACAAATTCTAAAACATCCAAGGACCCCTAGCATTGCGAGGATGCCGATTAGATAAAGCGTAAAATATCAAACCTCCTGCAAGGCTGTCAATGTAGAGAAAATTTTATATGTCCATCTAATAGTCTGATTACAGCATATGAAACACTAAGTATGCATGGGGTTTAGGTTAAAGAGACGAGTAGAACACCTCCCTGACAGAGTGTTTGCAAAAATATGATAGGTGACACTGTTAGTGCCTTGGAAATCAGTCTCCAAGAGGGGAACCCCCCGTTTATTCTTACTTTGTATTTTATACCGTACCTGGCCAATTTTTAAACCTTAACAAACGTACAAACCAATTGCACAGAATGACATACTGTGAATTGACGGAGAAATCGCACATTTTAGAGAAAATAAAGACTCCTTATATCTTATTAGTTACTTGGGGGATGATTCAGGTGTCCTGGGTTTGACTGCATTATGTAAGGGACGGTATAATTGCTACACTGTTAGACATAACAGTTTTCTTTATGCTCACCGATTTGCTACTTGCTTTGTAATTAACTACTTAGCGAAAGTTGTTCTTTTAAAGTGCCGACAAAAGACGTCTCTATGTACACTCAGAAAGCAAGTCATTATTGGCATGTCTTTGAAGAACAATACCTTTGACTACTGAATTTGTTAAAAATTGATTTTAAAAAGTATAATTGAGTTCATTATTCATTTTCTTCAATAACGTCGTGTTTTTACTTATATAGTGAAGGAAAATAATCTTTTTTTTTTCAATTATCACAGTTAGAGATGTAGTATACAACTGTAATATAAGTAATAATTAACTATAACTGAATGTCATGGATTCAGTTGCTGAGATTTGCAATTGAGAGAATTGTATGTCCATGACTGCATTTATTATAAATTCGGAAATCTCAAAATTGAGTATAGAAAAATAACATATAAAATAAAATTCATCTGTCAAGCACACTGGTCTCTTGGGTAAATTATACGAAAGCAGATTTTTACCTGGGTAATTCAAGTTTGGGACAGTTTTGACATATTAATCATTGTCAAATGTCACAGAGTATAATCATATGGGACACTCAAAGATATACGAATGACCAGAGCAAGTATAATACATATTACTCAAAACAATTTCTGGAAAAACAAAAACCCAAACTAATCTTCATAAATTAGTTTTTGTATAAAGTTTTATTTTTCCTTAACAGGCTAATATATCATTGCCTATCAAATTTATACACCATCAACACAGTTACACTGAAACAATTATAGGGCTATTATATAAACAGCACTAACTAATAAAATCATAAAGAAACAGATAATGTTCAAAAATGGCTGCCAAATGAATATAATTTTAAAATTAACACATTTTTGTACATATGCACTGTACATAATTAATGGCAAAGCATTACAAATGTAGAGTCTGTGTGAATCAAAGAATATGGTACATTTAATTATCCTTTATTCAATGATTGTGATGCTGGAATCATCTAGGAAAAGGAGAGTCTAGGAGGCCTTAAAAAAACACTTAAATCAGTTACAGAATGTGTACAAATTCTCCCCCCAGTCACGGTAATAAACCATCTCCATGACAAAATGGATAAGATTTGGAGAAAATCACAGAAATGAGGATAAGTTTATCTGATTCATCAAAGGGGACTTTTTTGATGTAGTCATACATATTTAAAACAACTTTAGAACAGTAGGTATAACTAGTCAGTTCACTAGAATTCAACTTACAAATAGAAGTGGAGTTGATATGTACATGTAATGAATGCAGCATTTCTTGTTCACAAAAAATTAAGCTTCATATGTCAGTTATAGACTTTTCCCTTTTTATGAAAAAATGAAGACATACGTTTAAGGTAAGGTCAAAAATGTAAGGTTTAAAAGGGGTACACAAGTAAATATACACCAACAATCTTTGACAAGTTGAAGAGACATAATAAATTAATGTGAAATGATCAAATAAAATTTTACACAGTACTAACTCTTTCATTGTTACTTTACAATCAACACACCTTTCCCTTACATCTTTTAAGTCAGGATTAACAACAAATAACAAAGAAAAGACAACTCTAGTCTACAGAATTTGTATGGAATAGCCAATCAGCATAAGACATCAATCAGAAGTGCAACTTCATTTATCAACTCCAACTAAGAAGGGAAATAATTATTCCAGAATTTTTTTTCATGATTTTTTTTTCTTGAAGTTTAGTTTTCACCATTTACAAACTGGACAGACAATATTGGATATGGCACTTGAATGAGAGGACTCCTTATGAAATATTGAATACAGACATAAAAAACAAGAAATTATTCACAGAAAACACCTTCATAAATAAATGCCTTCCCAATCACAACATTAAGGGAACATATAAAATTAATGTACTCAGATTTGGGGACCATTAAAAGATTGGACACAGAGGGCATACTATAAGTATAGGAGAAAATTTTCAGATACACAATTTGTACAATTTTTGTCTTATATGGGAAGCTGTTAACAGTCTACTGATACATTATACAATTTTGTCTATTGTCAAAGAACTTCACTAAAGCAAGATCAACTAATTGACATGGTTAACAGTAAATAATGCATGTAACAATAATGCTTATTTCTTTTGCATTTAGACAAATCTATAGTGTGATCATCCAAAAAAAAGAGCTCTTTTAATCAATAAATAAAAGTACACATCTACATTTTTTTTTCTTCCCTTTGCCATGTATGCTACTTTGCTTATTTTCCATAAAAAAAATTTTTTTTTTTACAACAACCGAATCCTGTAGCCAGCTGTATATATTGATACTCGGCAAATGAAAACAAATCAATTTATTTTCTATTTCTAGCATCTTCATGACTCATGATACACATTACATGTACATGTATTCCACAATTGCCCTTAGCAACATAATTATAAATCCTGAATTATCTGGAAAATATTCAACAATAAAAACAAACACACATTACAGCACACTCTTCTCTCCCAACAAGTTACAACACTCATAACCAATTATCTTTCCATAAAATGAGTAACCAGATGGATTTCATACTGTCTGCAGAATTAGATGTGGCCCCTCACATGTAGAATAACAGACAACTGAACTCCCCCCTTTCCTGAAATTGGCTTAAAGAATTGCGACATTTCAAACATTCATAAAATGCACATAATTTATAATGCATTTTCCTCTGTTCCAAATGCAGCATGTACTTCTTCTGTTCCAAATGCAGAAAGATGGGCAGAAGAACTTGGGCTAACACATGATGGCTTGGTCCCTGTAACACAGACATAATTCAAGTCCTTTGTGTCATAAATGCCCCCAGAGCCAACACTCCCACGGCCCCTATCACTCCGTACTTAACCCAGGGGGTGTCATCATTTGTAGACCTGTCTCTCTTGGAATAGAAATCCACAAAACCTTGCTGTAAAAGACAAAAAAAAAATGATTATAGTAATACTTCATTTTATTTTTCAAATACCAGACCTCTTACATGTAGTAGAAATATATCACCCTCTTCGGAATCAGACTACTTATTTCTTTTCTCTCTCTTTTAAATAAAAAGGTTTTTTAAATATTTGGGATGACATTCACAGTCATGTACATATAATGCCAAACATATAAAGTATATCATTAGGTAAGTTAGCAAGATTCCAGTTCCCGGAGGTCAGGACTATTTCCTGAATTCCAGGGAAATAGTCCTGAACGTGGGGCACTGGAATTTTGCTAACTCTCTCATTGATATACTGATACTTTTTAACTGTTTTATTATATCAATACAAGAGTAAAATCTGGAGGGTTTTGGATAACTTTTGAAGCAGGGATTTGCTCACTTGACTAACTCGCAGCAAAATGGGGATTAGTCCATTCAAGACAATTTCTATAGGAAATTTTTCACAGCTATCAATCTAATTCTATACAGTTAATATGGAAAAATCAAGAGAGGTATTACATGTATAAAAATTATAACATCACCTAAAGACTGAATAGTGGAAATATTTTATATATACAACCTAAGTATATTTACACTAAGTACAGGTAAAACAGGAAACATTACATTCCACATGAATAATTGTTCACCGCAAAGGCAAGGCACTGTATGAAAAATGGATATTTATTGAAACTACGGAATCAGTGTTTAACAAATTACAAAATTCAAACTTCACAACTAATAAATCTCAAAAAGTAGACAATACCAAATCTCAGAACAGCTTTAATTTTTCTTAGAAGTGGTTAAGGAATATCCTGAGATTTTTAAGACCAAAAAAACAGGAAGTTTGGTCTCACATACTTGTTGGAATATTTCAAGCATTTCATATATAGCCATGTTTGTATCTGAATATACACAACATGGTGTACATGTAAATAAAGGGAACTATATAAATGAGAAATGTATATTGATAAAACCATCAGAGTTCAAACAAACAGAAAAAAAAACTCCCCCTGTTAAATTTTCCAAGGTTTGGGAAGAGGATGTTGCAGCCTAATTCCTTGAAAAACAGATGAAGGGGATAAGAAGAGAAACATTTTGGCAAACTCTTGGTGTTGATTCATTAAACTGACTAAGGCCATTAGGAAGATATTGCCTGAGGAAGCAGGGAAGCTATTTGCAACACAGACACTTGTTAACTGTGAAGACTGTGTTTATCATCCTAGATTTGTCAGTCAAGGCTAGTAACTGCCAGAAGCTCCTCTAATTCATTGTAACGTGCCTGTGATCAGCTTGGTTGTATGCATGTTAGAAACAGATGGAGATTATACTGCCATGAAGAACATTGTGCACTCACTTCCACAATAAGTTAGGTAAAATTTTCAACTGATTCAAAAACATTTGATTATTGAAAAAAAAAACAACAACAGTAATTTATCTTTATGTTCACAGTAAGCACCCTTGACCCTGAAAGGAATTCAGGCAGTAATTAAGTCAGAAAAAATGTGTTCTTCATCACTGACCAAATGAAAGACGCATTATATTTATGAGCTTTGCTATCATCAGCCCCTCATTTACCTTCCTCATCACTTGCCGAGATAAATCAGCCCTAAGTAATGACCAGTCCATGAAAAGACTGGTTCCAGAAATATATCTGATGAAATAAGTCAGTGGCATATGAAAGCTTAAAAACAGCTTAATGGACAAAGGCCAAGTGGGAGGCTGCATGAATAACTTACATGTATTTACCCTGTGAACTGTCAATGTACAGCAATGAACAAGGTTCATAATGCAAAAACTGTTGTATGTTTATGAATAAGACCAAGGTAATCTATAATTGTACAGTAAGCTGCAATTTGTGGATGTAAACATCTGTAGCCTTCTGGGTGTACTAGGCTTTTAGTTATTTTAGTTCAATTACTGGGTTAATTTGTAGTTGGTGATTATGAATTTACATTTAATTAATGTCCAAGGACTTGCTTTTATGCATGATAAATTGCTCCTAACCATGATTAACTGCACAGTCATATGCTGCTTCATATATAGCTTGGACTATATATACTTTTTGTAAGCAGTGCTATACCATATGTGAATTTTAGAGAAAGAATTGTCCAATATTTAGCATATTCCTTCATAAATTGTTAATATTACAGATACTGAAAAATGATTCTACAACACAGGAGAAAATTTGATTGAGAAACACCTGGTCACTGACCTCTAATTCAGCTACAACTGATTAAAATTTACACAGTGTAAAATCCAGATTTCATTCATACAAATTTGATCCAGCAGTAATACCACACACATTCATACATGTATATCTCTCTGCCAAATTTTATAAAATCTTCAATTATATGTCGAGATCTGTAATCTTTACATTCAATTAAAACCACAATCCTGAACTAATTACTTGAGGCTAGAGATTGTACCCAGATTGTACCCAGATTGGCTGGAGACCAGCACTGAAATTCTCTGACAGCCAAGGTAAACTCGGAGGCTGATGGCATTTCATGGTCATTCACAGACCTTCATGAACAATGCAGATTTTTAACAGATTAAATTTATCTTATGATCTTTGGATACAAAAACAACTCTGGTATTTTTTAAAACTGTTGCCAGTTTTATGGCACTGCAGACATTCTGTGACAGAACACAAAATACAAATTCTTTTGATCTGTTATAGACCATTTAGGGTTTAACTTTAAACCTGGTAAAATTTGATTGAGAAGTTCCAGGAAACTGAACACCTTCATCAGGTTCATGTTCATGACAAGTCGAACCAGTTTGTATCTGTTATAGATCAAGGGTTTAACTTTAAATCTGGTAAAATTTGAATGAGAAGTTCCAGGAAACTGAACATCTTCATCAGGTTCATGTTCATGACAAGTCGAACCAGTTCGTATCTGTTATATACCAAGGGTTTAACTTTAAACCTGGTAAAATTTGAATGAGAAGTTCCAGAAACTGAACACCTTCATCGGGTTCATGTTCATGACAAGTCAAACCAATTTGTCAACATCATCTTCTACTGTTGCAGTACTATCAGAGGTGTGAATTCTAGGAACTGTTTACAGATGCTCTCCAGAGAGAGTGAACCAATAAACACAGTCATGTACTGGTATTACAGTTGTTCAGAACTACATCACTAAGGCAATGAAATATCTGTAGGACAAACACACCTTCCCCCTTCATTTCTTAGTTAGGTAGAAAAAAAGTTGAAGGGTCATTTCCGGAAAACCAAATGATCAAATTCATTGATACTCTGAGTGCAAGTACATTAACGTCAGCTCTATCTTATGACTTACAAGGATGTACTTATCCGTGAAATGTGTAAATTCACGTAACCACACCTCGAACATTTCCTTTTCTTTTAACTTAAATAAATTAATATAAAAAGTACAATTTTTAGTATTTTAAAGATATTAAGAACATAGTGATTTGACAATATGTGTATGATTATTATGGAATTATGAGTGCATGGTTTTACCATATATATAAAAAGATATTGAATGATACCTTCTAAATAGTACTGTGGGTTTTTACTTACATACACTAAAAAAAAAACAACTTTAAAGACTAACTAAACCAGGGTCAAGAATCCTAATTTCCCCTAATTAATTTTTTTTTTTTTTTTGATTTCCTTCCTTATGAGAGTTTGGGATGTAGAAAAAACCATTAAGCTAAATAGAAGCTTTCACATCCAATTTTTAAAAAAATGATTTTGATAAATATCTACATGTAGTTACTAAAGTTCTCTGTTCAATGGCTAGATGACATAACATTAAATGTTTAGAGAACAGAATCATCATGTACAAATAATGGCAAGGTTAAGAAACATGAAATGTTTTAAACTTTTAACATACAATGTTTAACATATTTTAATCTTAATTACTTGAACTTGCTAATTCTTGAACTTTTTCTACACACAAGTAGGTAAATACTGAACAAGACATCATAACAGTATAATTGCATTAAACCCAATGACAATGAATACACAAAGCATGCAGAGAATTTCTGGCCTGTTTAATGCAAACCTACACCAAATGTACTAATTAAGCTGCCAATATTTAAGAATGTGAAATGCCTGCAAGGTTCATTTGAAACCATTGGAAAAGAAACAAAAGCCTCTCCTGAAAGAATTTGGCACCAAACCACCTGAATGTTAAAGCATTCATATGAATAATAATTGCCGCATTGATCAAGGAATTTTATTACCATTCAGAATATTAATTATTGAGTCCCAGCTTTAACAAAAGCGTGTTCAAATTCAAAAGAATTAAAATTTGCTTTAAATTGCATTGGAATTTGTTCTAATCATGTTAATTCATAATTTAATTAAGAGATTAAGTTTACTTCTACATGCACTACTTTTTCATACAGCAAGGGTTGCAAATAACCATTCGCCCACTCACAAATGCAGATTGAGCTACTATTGGTGACAAACTCTATAGGGATCTTATTGCCCACATGGCAACTAAAAATTTTACAGGATTTTAAGCTTCCACAACCCACTCTTAAATTCAAAAGATACAAATTTTACACTATCTTGTTTTACATGGTCTTTTTACCCCTATCCCCACTGCTCTGATCAGAGAGAATCTTTTTTTAGTTCTGCACTCAAAACTATGATGTACTTTTTCTCCAACAACAAATGTGTTGTTCAACAATTGTGGCTTATGTTTATCATATGACTGCAGACTGCATGTGTCTCTGTTTTATCTCTGATTTGGAAGGACAAAACAACATAAACAATAAACTGTAACATTCAACATCCACAAAGTGCTCTCAGTTAAAACAAACAGTACTGCATTTTTACGTGTAACAGATAGAGCTGCATGAAATTTCTTTCAAGCTCTTTTTTTGTTATTTTGTATGTGGATATTAAACCTTAAGAAGAAGGAAAATAAAGTCAAAGGAAAGTGATACTGTAGATTACTTTTTATTCGCGAGAACTTTATTTTTGAGTAATTACGTGAGACTGCCTGCTCGCGAAA